ATTCTTATTGGAGATATTATACTGGTTTTTGGACAGGATCTTTTTTTATTGCTGGAGGAATTACTATGTTAATTGTAGCATGTAGACCATCTTATGCGATGACTCATTTAATTCGACTATTTGGCTTGTGTTTGTTCCTTTCTATACTGGGACTCATCTTGTCTATTGTTTATGTAGCTACATTAAATCAATGTGGTTCAACATACTATTGGTATTATTGCTACAGTTCAACAGGACGAAATCTAAAAATAGCTCTTTTGATATTCTTTATTATTACATCTATTCATACTATTATAAATATGATTGTGGCTAGTAATGCACGAAAATCAACAGCATCAGCATCTAATTAAAGTGTTCCAAATCAATAATAGTTTATGATAACCCAAATTTAATATGAATATTTGACTGAAATCGAAAATAATTTTTTTTCTTTAATGTCGAACATGAACATCTTTTGCTAATAAATAAAATCGTTGATATTATCTATTTTTTTACTATTTTTCCAATCAAAATGTCATGGAAAAATAGAAAATGTTTTCAATGCAATAACTTCTTTGTCTTATAAAAAACAAAAATAAGTATTTTTTTTTTCTTCAAAGAAATCATGATTCAAATCAAATAACTAACTATGATGCTGTCAATATTGTGATAGATTGTTGAGAAGTATAATTCACATCACAGTCGTCGTTCGTTTGATTCTAATTTCTTGAAATTGAAATCTGCACAGAAAAACGTCTCATACTATAAAGGTTTCGACATATGAGAATGCATTCTTTAAAAATCAATTTTTTTCTAAATAATTTCTGTAACTTTTTAATTTATTTCTAGTATTCAAGTTTTATATTAATATCTAAGCTTAGTATGAACAATATTTTGATTCTATCGTCGTAGCATTGTGTCGGTTGCGAGTTTTACAGCAAACTCTGAAGAAATTCTTTAGGCTTTCTATACGAAAATCTAAACCGTTTTCCTTTTTTCGAAAAATATTGTATGATGCACTTCTTCTCAGTATGAAAACTTATTTCTTTTCGCAAAAAGATACAAAGGAATTTTTCGGCACAGACAAGAGACAATCCTCAAGAAACACTGAATATGAACGAATACTGTCTATACTAGTCAAACTTCAAAATAAGTGACTGTCTGAAATAGATTTGACAAAAAAAAATTTAAGGTTCTTCATTTCGCAAGGTTCGACCAGTGAAATAAAATCGATTACTAACGATATATTGAACGAAAATAAACTGAAACTAAGATTTATCAGTAAGAATACCAGAAAACTATACCTGGGAGCGCTTTAATCGATCAAAATACTAAAAAGGATTACAGAAAAAATGAGTTTTTACTCAGCATCAGTTTTATTTGAATAGAATCATTGATGACTGTTTCACAGTTAGTGCGTAGATATGTTATTATACAAAAGTTTGACGATATTGACTATTTAATGTTACATTACGCGTGATATACTCATCAAAGTATACATAAGTAAACATCATCCATTGTATAAATCTATCTGAAAGACAAATGTGTTATTTCTATAGCAATTTCTGATTAACCAAATTCTGAACGTGAATTCAAATTGCATGAAATTTGCAGGATAGCTTTGAACTGTAGTGGAGAGACTATAGTAAAGTTCTTAGTCTTATAATATGACGTATGAGGTAGATATTCAATAAACAAGGATCAACAATGGCTCATTAAGTAACCAAAAGTTCCCTGTCGGATAACAGGTTCAATAACCCAAAACACTCCTATTTTTTTGCAGTTTTTTAGTTGTTGCAATTGTTATTCATTTTCTCCACTTAACAAGTAAAAACTTACAAAAAGAGAATTTTCAGTTACCGGATGAGTAATTGTTGACCTTTGTTTAGTGAATGTCTCCCTCAAATGACAGGTTATAAGCCTAAAAATTTTACCATTGTTTCTCCACTATAGTTCCAACATATCTTGAAAATTTCATACGATTTGCTTGTGCCTGGACCAAAATTGATTTTGCCAAAAGATGGTAGTGGCCTTAAGTGTCTGAATACTTTTTGCAGTACATGTAATATCAATATAATTTTTGTTAGACAGACATTTTTTATTTGACATTCTCACTGAAATGTTCTTGAATATTTTTGTTGT